TTCGTGTAGGGGAAAACACTGTGTAAGTATGTCAGCTGTACTTGGGGTGAAACTGCGTGTCAAAACTTACCTTTGCCAAAAGGGAGAAATCCTGCTCCCCAGTCTTTCCTTCCTTGATAGCTGGCCGCGCGCTCCATCCCCTGCCTTGTTCCATTTTTGGTTCTCTTTAAATAAAGCAGTAGGCAGGTTCAGCTTGCTAATTTGGCACTACAAAATGAGTTAATGTTCTGCTAGGTTAGTGAGTTGAATCAACCCAGCAGAGGGTCTGACAAGCATCAAAGCTGACAAAAGAAGGAAGGGTGTGGGACTTGGGCAGTGAGGATCAGAGGAGAGAAGGAGCAGGATCTCTCTTTTCTTGTGGCTGTGTGCTGCCAAGATCAATTCTGCTGGAATATGTAACTCCACTCTTAGGGTACTTTAGTCTGGCTATAAATAGGTTTAGATATACTAAGGAAATTGTATGTAGTTTGCCTTGCAAAACAGCTATATAGGAAAAGTTTCTGTGTTCAGGGGCAGGTGTTGCCATTCTTTGGGAATGGGATCCCCCCCTAACTCCACAGATCATAATTGAAGTTCTGTGTCACCATTTTGAAGGCTGTCAGCCATTACAGCATTGTGTATGCTCCATGCATTTGATACCTCCTTACTTGTATTGGCTATGTACAACCAAATAAGTTTTAGTGAAACAAGTTAGAAAGTTAACTGAAGTAATCTAGAATTCCTTCATCGAAGCTTTCTGCATGAATAACTTCGGGCTCTTCTCCTTTTGAGTCATTGCATCCCATATTTGGCATTGGGAGGCTGAGAGATAGTTCACAGCTGCTGCTTGCTTAGTGGGTATCTCTGGAGCTGAGATGGGTGGCTTCTCTCTGGAGTGCTTAGTTGGAAGATAACAAGTTGCTGAATTTCCACTGAGAGGCAGTAGAACCTCCACCCTCTCCTTTCTTTACCCTCTGAGTAGATAAGTAGATAGGACCAGAACCTAATGTCCTGTGGTTTAGTACCAATGAGTACACTTGCCTTACATACTGTAACTGAGCAGCTCAAGCAATGGATAGGTTCCTTGTGGGTTCATAAATGAAAGACGGTTGTCTTCCTCAAAGCTGAGTTTCCCAAATTTATTAGATTTGTTTATACATGTTCTGTCTTGTCTGCGAAAGGCTTTGTTGGCATTTAATCTCTCCGTTTTTCTTGGTTTCAGTACATGAATTGATGCTGAGGTCCAAAAAGACTAACATACATTACATATATTGTTGTTGTTACTGTAATCTACTTCTCACCTTTCTTGCTCTCATAGTAAAATCAACATTTAAAAGATACCTTGTTTATGTTGCAGAGTTGTTGGCCGCCCACGATAACAGGAGGCATCTCGCCTTGCATAATTATTGAAACGCCTCACAAAGAATCAGTAACCACTGACTTCTCAAGATTCAAAAAATACAGGTTCAGAAACCTCTTCATAAATCCATCACCTTTGCCAGAACTCAAGTAAGTTTACCGGATGCAGTAGTTGTTGGTGTTTTATCAAATATGCTGAACTACTGTAGTAAAATCTGTTGTTGTATTGTGTTTGTATAATAGTGGGCAGTACTCAACCCATACCTGTACTTGTCTCCTCATCCCACAAACAATTCGATGTCCAAAAAAAAGACAAATTCTGGGTTTTTTTTTTCCCCCCGATCTTATAAACGTACCGGACAGATGATTTTTGCCTTTTGGAGCTGTCCTTTTATAACTTAACATTGGAGACTCTAAGTGGTTAAGAGGCACATAATGATTAAATTGAAATTCTTCCAGTGCTATTGGAACTGAGTGACCAAAAAATACTAAGCAAAGTTTTCTTTAAGAACTTAAAAATGTACAAACATGCAAATAAACTTGTGGCAATATTGCTGCGCAAGTAGCTTGCTAATGCAATGCAGCGTGCTTGGTGCAGTCACAGTTCTAGAAAGTTTCCCTTCTCCAGAGGTACAGATTAGCTGACTAAATCAGATTTTTCAATTTCTGAATTTCTTAGCCGTTCAGTACCGCAGTTGCTGTTTGTATCAACCTGGTGTTTAATGAAAGAGTTGTTAAATTTACTGCAATGCGTTAGGGAAAACTTCTGGTGAGGTGAATGAGAAGAGAAGCAGAACATGCAGCATTACTTTAAGAGAACCTTTCTAGATACACCATGGTTTTATTTGTTCCGGCCAAAACTTGATCAGAACTGGGAGATGCTGCATGGTGATGTTTTGCCTCAGTGCAAAGCAATAGGTCTCTTACAGTCTCTTTCACTGAGTTTCAAACTCAGCTGCTTCTCTCTCAGTATTATTCCCAAGCCTCCTGAACTGTGCTTTAAAGAACAGTATGCTCTTCTCTATACCTAGCAAATCACATTTTTGTATGTGTTGGAAAGCTTAGTGCAAAGTAGTTTTTTAAAAATAATAATAATAAAAAAAAGAATGTTGAATGAGGGAATCTCATGCACTTCTTTAGCAAATTGTTGGAAACTGCTGGATCCCAAAGATATGTTCAGGTACAGAATTCCATGCAAGGAGTTTAATCCTTGATGTTCACCTCTTGTCCATCTCTCTCCTGCCTTCTTCGTGCTTTCCTAACTGCTGCAGGAAGATCATAATAGGAGATTTCTCAATGCCTGCCCACTTAAATGGGGAGACTTGTGCATTAAACAAGCAAGTATCTGTCCAGCTTTTAACTTATGATGGCGGCAGAGTGGAACTGATCTGGGTTAGAATTTGTAGGCAATACCAGTGATCAGGTCTGTTTAATATCTCTCTGCTTCTGCTTGAGGAAAGGTAAATATATAACTCCAAAAATTTCAGTAGGAAACCAGCATTGCATTGATTAACATGCTGTCCCTCTTAGTAACTGTAGGGTGAGAAGTACATCTAAGAAAAAAAACCACATCAATTCATAATAACAATAATTACAAATTAAAAACAAGCCATATTAATGATGTAGGCATCTTCTTCTTCCCAAGTAGACTTGAGTCCTAATAAATTATAAGTTATAAAGAAGAACTCAGTTTTTCTCACAATAGCCTGTATCTTAAGGTAGGCTAGAAAATGAAGGGATGGATGAGTGGCCTTTACACACCATCTGTAAAAGTTTTTCTCAAATTAAACTGGACAACTTCATGTATGTTTTGTGTTTCTTAGGGAGTGGGGTGTTTTTTTCTTTTTTATGGGGAGGGTTTGGTTTTTATCTTGCTCTTTGGACAGCCACCTAACTAAGCAAAATAGGAAACTCTGGTTGTATGTGCAATTTTGGGATGCACAGGTTCAGCTTTATTGGCTGTTCTATAAAACTGGACTTGCTGATGATCTTAGCAAGCTGCTGTTGTGGTGATGTAAAATGTTCAAAGTATATCTGCAGTTTTCTAATTACCATAAGGATCTTTTAGTGTGTGAAATTTTTCTTTTTGTTCCTGAATATCTGTAAACAATAAATAATGTTTTTATACTCCTTTTGTGAAGGTGTATATATACTTAACAACGCTTTGTGTAACTTTATTCCTTAGCTGGGGAAATTCCAAAGATGTCTGGCTCAACATCCTGAAGAAGGAGAACAGATATGCTCATTGCAAACATTTCACGTCACTACATTCTAGTTTGCAACCTCACATGAGATCAATACTGTTAGACTGGCTCTTAGAGGTGTGTTCTTTTAGTTACTTTGCCATATGTTATGCCTGTGAAGTAGGCAGATAAAAGCGTAGCTTTTACATAAAAGATCTAATAGCAAAATGTACTGTATGGTAAATGCTAAAACTAGTTTGCAACAAAAGGGTTACTGCTTTTGATCCTTTTGGTGAGCTACATTCAGTCTTCCCTGGCAGGAGACGCTGAACCTTCCGCACAGGGCAACAAGCAATAGTACTAAATTTTTGCTCTTGCCACACTTATTTCCTGGGAAGGGGAGAAATCTAGTTTTGAGACACTTATGCTGAAATTGCTAGGTTCTTGTTGGAAAACAATTATAAATAAATCATCCATATTCCAGTCTAATTACTGTACTTCAGAGTATTCCAGTTGTCAAACAAAATGGAAGTTCTCAATCATGGCAAAGTAGTGTTAGCGTTGTAAATAGAGAGCTATGTTCTGGAGGCTTTTCCAAGAACTCTGTATTGAGCATATTCAATCACCACTGCCAAAAGCAAACTTTGACTCATGCGATCCTTGCCCATCAGCAGAAGGGATCTTCCAGGTTTACCAATTCCATATCGGGTACTCCAAGGAAGCAGATGTTAGTGGCACTCTTGATGGAACAGTGCTAATAGCAGGGAATTTTGAGGGAAAGGAGAGGAACGTGTGGTTTTTCTTAAAAAATACAGTTTGAATATAAAAACTACTCCAGTTGTGCACTTCCCTACTTCCTCTAAGGTGTAATTTACATACCACCATTAAATTGTGTTTTGTTGCTTTTTTTTTTTTAAATCTTGAACTCTTAGGAAATCCTCCAATTTCCAAATAAAAATGTCGACACGGGCCTTGTTGTTGTTGTCGAGCTCAGTGGTTCTGTATACCACAGTGGATTAAAATCCCGGCAACTTTGAGAGTCCTCCAGTAGCTCCTAACATTGTCTTCTGTAACATCGTAACTGTGATACTATTTAACATGACCATGCATTATTGCTTATGTTTGGGCAATACACTTTTATACAAATTGTGCCATTTAGTCATGGGTGGGCCTGGTCAGTACCTTTTTTGTTCTGAATTTTGTTTGGAGCAGTAGTTAATATATCAGAGTAGCACATCAATTGGCAAATATTAGATCAGGTCTAAAAGAATGAGCTGTGGTGTTAGTGCCAACCAGTTGCGCTTTTGATGGTCAGGAAGGGTTTTAATTTGCAAATGGGCTTTCAACCTTATCTTAGGAGATAGCTAGTAGTAGTAAGATTTTATTCTGACTTTGTATCCAAGCGAAATAATGAAGCAGGACAGGAAGCTTGGACTTGGGATCTATTTCTTGGATATTCTTTCCTGTTGACTGTACGTAGATTATAAGTAATTTATAGATATCTAACTAGTTTCTAGTTGTGGAAGGGGTACAGAGTTGCAGATAAGCTGTAGTTGTGGTAGACCCACCCAAATTTAGTTAGAGATTAGAGGAAAAAGGCCCCTGCGTAAGATCTCCAGGCCCACGCAGTCTCCTTTCCTTTTTTGTTGAACTGGCATTTGAACCACTTTGATACAATGCAAGTATTAAAAGTTCTCTGTGCCAGGGAAACCTGCAGCTGTATGGAGCAGATGGCCGTTCTTGTAGTTTTGTTCCTGCTTAGTGAGGCTGTCGGTGGTGCCTGAGGGGCTGTAGGCAGTGCTCCTGGCTTGCCAACAGAGCCCCCTCAGGCAGGAGCTTCCAGGCTTATTAGCTGTAGAGCCAAAGACTTCAAGTTTTTTTAGTGGTTCTGCTCTGGGACAGACCTACTAGGAATACAGGGAGGATCTGCTCAGTGACTTCAACTTGAGGTTTGAGCCCAGAGTATTCTTAATCAAGCAAATTAGTGGGTTTTCACCATTCCACCCCCCCAATGAAGCTTTCTTCTTTCAGTGGAAAATTCTTTGTACTCATTTTTAGGAAAACTGGATCCTATTTAGATTGGAAAAGGTATGGTTTGGAAGTACGTTAGTGCATCATAGACAATCCACGTTTAGGTGGGAGCATGGGTAATACTTTTCCCAGTCCCATACTAACCACTACATCCTAACACACCTAGATATGTGATCATTTATGTGTGCAAAAGATAAAATTGTGCATACTGTGTTTTTCTGTTAAAGCTTGAATATGTCAGTGTGTACAGAGAGTTTTATAATAGAAGACTGAATTGTTTTATTTTTCCTGTTGTAGGTATGCGAGGTGTATGCACTCCACAGGGAAACTTTCTACTTAGCTCAAGACTTTTTTGATAGATTCATGTTGACACAAAAGAACATTAACAAGAGCATGCTTCAGCTCATAGGAATTACCTCATTATTCATTGCCTCCAAACTTGAGGTAAGAGGCTCTGTTACAGGGAGGAGGATATTAAGTTTGGAATAACGAAAAAGACAGTAATAACATATTTATTTCTTCTGTCTGAATCTTTTGAACTTGATGGTGTACATACAACACTGGAGGTCAGAAAGGGAAATTTTTTTCTCTTCCTTCAGTTGTGCATATGTCAATCTCTTGGAGTGTAGTCTTTGTCCTCCCTTTCCTCAGCAGCAGGGAAGGAGACCACATAAACTTAAAAGGTATGCAAATGTGCTAGGAGTAGTTTTGTTTTGTTTTGTCTTTTTCCAAATATACAGCAGTTGGCAAACAATCTCAGAAATGGGTGTGGGACTTGAACAAAACCAAGCCCAAGTCTCAAACTGCCTGTGCATCAGGCTGATATCCCTATAAACCCATTTAGCGAAGTAAAGTGCAGTGATGGTGACACATTACGTTGTGCATTACATCTACGAGCCAAGAGCGTATTTTTGTATAGTGCCTGGTAGGCTAGACTGAGAGGAAAATTTGGGATGTTAAGTTTTTATACTTGGAAACCCCCCGATCTAGAAGTTATTCCTAAAGCCAAGATAGCGTGCTACAAGCAGTTGTCTATCCTAAGGAAGTGCGTGGAGCATCAGGCTGTGGAGCCAGCTGGTAGAGAAGCAGTTCTGCTGGCAGGTTCTCTTTTACTAACACACCTAGCTATAGGTGGCATGACTGGGTTGGCAAATCTCTTTGTTACCCATCTCTGCACCATGGATTTTGCCAGCTACAGTGGCTGTGGGATTTTCTCTCTCATCTTTTTCTAGCTTTTTTTTTTTTTTTTAAAAATCGATGTGACTACATCAGCACTGACATTGCACGTAACCCCTATCAGCAAGCCATTTCTAACACAGCAGTGTGCTGTGAGAATGGGATGGTGTGTGGTTTTTACATCAAATGGAATGGCTGAGTAGAAAGCGGTATAAGTGAAAGGCTGTTCTGATTGCTTGGTCAGCATTTATTTCCCCAAAAGCTGGAAGAGTTGCAATAAATCTATTGTGTTTCACAACAGATAACATATAACCTACTTGGTTTTAGTATCTCCTCATCCTGTAAGTTTCAAGTCACTTAATGTAATGAGAAAAACACTATTCTAGCGTAAGAAATCTTAATATTTCAATATGGACTGAAAAGTATTTGCCAGTACCTTCTCAAGCTTTCTTAGAATTGTAAGGCACTCTAATCTTCACTTTTTCACTCCTTCCCTTTAAAGGAAATCTACGCTCCTAAAATACAGGAATTTGCTTACGTCACTGATGGTGCTTGCAGTGAAGATGATATTGTAAGAATGGAACTTATTATGTTAAAGGTAATAACTTTGCTGTGTTTGTAAGTGCTGGTTGAAAGACTGTCCAGCTGAGCCTTATATTTTAATGTCATTTATTTGCTTAGAAAAGGAACATGTTTAGTGTGTCCCTCTTTCTGCAGAACAATGAAAGCTTCATTGTATGTGTACTGGACCTCTAAATCCCCTTGGCTGGGATGAAATCCCTGTCTGTTAGGAAAGGACAGGTTTCTCGCACTTGTATGAAAGAAAAGGCTCTTAACAGGTACAGCCAGCCACGGGGCAGACTGGAAGGCTGTCACTGTCATGTGCTGCACTTGCCAGCGTCCTTTGCTGTCCGGGAAGAGGGGCCTCTGGCAGAGCCAGGCAGAGAACTGACACCGACACTACCCAGTGCTCTTCATGTTGGAAAGGATCCATCTTTACCGTCACAGAACTCCTTATACATTTATTCTTCCTTAATAGATACGAGCTGCAGGTTCAGGCAGCTAGCCTGAAGGCTCAGGGAAATACTCTAATTTCCTAGCTTCTGAATGGGGAAGATACGTAAGATCCAACTGCACAGGTATAGGGATACATGTTTGTGCTGATTGTAATACAGCCTATTCAAAAAGTAGTGAGAATGCAATCTAAAATGAGTATCTGTACTTGAAATTGTACATAATCTTTAGTATCTTTTGAGGATCTGTGCAATAAGCTGAGCAAACTCAGAAGGGGAGGTATGGGAAAAGGGATCAAGGCACAGAACTACCCTTGTGTGGTTTAAGTTGCTTACCTGTTTGTTTAATATTTGCAGGCTTTAAAATGGGAACTCTGTCCAGTGACTATCGTCTCTTGGCTGAACCTCTATCTTCAAGTGGATGCTCTGAAGGATGTTCCGAAAGTGCTGCTACCTCAGTATTCTCAGGAAAAATTCATTCAGATAGCACAGGTAGGTAGTAAACTGTGTTGGAAGATGCTTTTTGGAGTGATTACAAGCACAACTGAACATTACACCCCAAAAGCCATTAAAGAATGCTTTTCCTTGTTCCATCTCACCTGTTATTTTGTTAAGGAATGTGCAAGTTTGACTGCCAGAGAATGTCACACTCAGTTTTGAGGACAAGCACCCATGTGTTTCTTGTCTTCCCACTCTCACATATTTTAAGACTTTTCTGAAAATAAATAATGTTCCTTTTCTAACTGGAAAAATAAAAATCCATTTTGTTTTTGTAATTGCTATGCATACAGTGGCAACAGCTGAGAGGAGGGTGGGTAATTTAAGACACTATGGACAGTTAACTGTTTTTACCTGTATTATCTGTAACAGTGTTTCTGTGTATTTGCCTAGAAGGCAGTCTGAGGAGTGTTTTGACTATTTTGAAACTGCTGTGGTTCAATTTCTATGGGCATGTGTTGTGTCCAGCCTCAGAAGGGCTTCCTGAAGGGTAGACTGGTCTAAGTCACTGAGCTGCTAGGTAATAATTTAATTTAAGAAAATACCTTCCTAGAGCTCTGCTAAGAGTTTCAAGGTGTACTTAAATCTGTGCAACCGAAGTGCCTTGCATGTTACTGTAAAGTAAAAGTGCAAATTGGTTTCCATCATAACTCTGTGAGGCCCACTTTAACTGCACTTGGTGCCAAAAATAAATTAGATGCATGCAATTGATGCTAAAAAGGTCAGCGATATTATAGAGCATAGACGTAGAAGGACTGCTGCATGCATAGCAGTTTCTGAGACAGGATTATACTTGTTAAAATTTGTAACTCTTATTTCCTCCGCTCTTTATTTCCTCAGCTCTTAGACCTGTGTATTCTGGATGTGAATTCTTTGGACTTCCAGTATAGAACACTAGCTGCTGCAGCGCTCTGCCACTATACCTCAATTGAAGTAGTTAAGAAAGCTTCAGGTAAGAAGCCTTCGTAAAGGTTGGTCTTGTTAGGCCGGGAATTCTGAAAGCTGTTATATGCCTGAGGCTGCTAAGAGTGTATTGGTTCACCAGGCTGCCAAAGAGCAGAAGCTACATGGACGCTAATAGTTTGTTCTTCTGTTCTGTGGGGTTTTTTGCCCCTAATTTCACTTCCTTCCTACCACTATTTCAGATAGTGACTCAAAAAGGAGGAAGTGCTTTCAGTGCATAGTCTTAGCTAAGGAATTGAAGCAGATTTATTCTTAGAATTATAGAATCATAGAATCATTAAGGTTGGAAAAGACCTCTAAGATCATCGAGTCCAACCATCAACCCAACACCACCATGCGCACTAAACCATGTCCCTAAGCGCCTCATCTACACGTCTTTTAAATACTTCCAGGGATGGTGACTCTTCCCTGGGCAGCCTGTTCCAAGGCTTGACCACTCTTTCAGTAAAGACATTTTTCCTAATGTCCAGTCTAAACCTCCCTTGGTGCCACCTGAGGCCATTTCCTCTTGTCCTATCGCTTGTTACTTGGGAGAAGAGATCAACACCCACCTCGCTACAACCTCCTTTCAGGTAGTTGTAGAGCACGATGAGGTCTCCCCTCAGCCTCCTCTTCTCCAGGCTAAACAGCCCCAGTTCCTTCAGCCATGCCTCATAAGGCTTGTGCTCCAGGCCCTTCACCAGCTTCGTTGCCCTTCTCTGGACATGCTCCAGCACCTCAATGTCCTTCCTGTAGTGAGGGGCCCAAAACTGAACACAGTATTTGAGGTGCGGCCTCACCACGGCTGAGTACAGGGGCAATCCTTCTTGCTTTTGGGCTAATACTACTGGTCTATGACTTCCAGTTGTTTTGGGGATCATTAGCTATACATTATTTGGCTACTTTTTCTCCTAAAAAGTAGTCAGCCACCAGTCATCCTCAGCTGTCAGTGGCATTCATTAATCTGTGTGCTAATTCCTACAAGCTGTCCCTTTTAAAGTGAAAAAAAACTAAAAAAAAAAAAAAAAAAAATAAACTAAGCTCAGCACTTGTGTGTTGCTCGAGGTGCCATAAAGGACTGTGCCAATAGTGTATGTTTTTATAGTGTGAACCAAAATCTTGCACTCAAGCTGAAAAAGTCACTTGAGCCTCCCCTGGTAAGCAACAGGAATCCTCACGGCCACAGAGCTGCTTTGCTCAGGAGGCCCAGGCTCACCGTCCCCTGCCACAATGCTTTTAAGTAACAAGCACGAGGAAATGTGAGGAGTTTCTGGGAGGATGTTTCTGAATTTTTATCTGCAGAATTAGTTATTGTTGGTTTTAAATTTATGACCATACTGGAACACTGTGCAACTCCCCCATGATTTCTAAATATATTGCTGTGTTCTACCCTCTAGGCTTAGATTGGGACAGCATTTCAGAGTGTGTAGAATGGATGGTTCCCTTTGTGAGTGTGGCAAAAAAAGTCCCTGTGAAGCTGAAGAACTTTAAGAAGGTTGCAGCAGAAGATCGACATAACATCCAAACACACACAAATTATTTGGACATGCTGGTAGGTGGTTTGTGGACTTGCATTCGGGCAGCTGAGAGTGCATCACACACCCCTGCTCACACCTGGCCTGGCTCACCTCAACCCCTGTGGTCAGTGGTGCCTAACCTTTTGTTTCTTGCTCTTGCTTGATGATGCTATGAACAAAAGGTGCTTTACCATAACACTCCCAGGCTGTAAGCAAAGAATTGGATTGAAGTACTGGCGAAGTGTTTAAAAGATAATAATCTTTACTTTGTTGTGTAACATTGCCCTGGTTTCTTATTCAGTATCCTAACCCTGGAGTACTTGAACTGTACTAGCAGTGTGAAGAATACTAGCGAAACAAAAACACAGAATTTGTCACAGGTATTAACCGTCATCTTCCTCCCCCAATACACAGGAAGAAGCTAACAGCGGAGTGGCATCTACTGCCCCAGGTCAGTTATCACCTGTGTCAACAGGAGGAATAATAACCCCTCCCAAAAGTACAGAGAAGAAATGAAATACGGACAACATCATGAGCAGTTTCAGAAACAGGACTTGGTGCTTCAAAACAAGACCACGCTAGAGGCGACTCATGCTCTTTACTGCTATTCGAGACTTGGGCAGTAAAAGACACATCAAATAGAGCAGCAGATGGAAATTGAGACCACTGTCCTCCCACAGACTTGGTAAAAGATGTAGACCAAGCATCCCTCCATGCTATCACAGGAGCCCGGACTACTTTGGTCCATTCTCAGACATGACTTAGTTCAACTCTGACCATTCCTAACTTATGAATTTCAAGAACTTTTTAAAAATGGCTGAGTGGCAAAGTTTGTCCACTCAACTTACATGTCATACTTGCTTTAACTTGGCTAGCCATACAGGAGAACTTAATGACAGCTTGTACATATTACCTTTTCTTGGTTTTTTTTCTTTTTTTTTGTAAGGTCAGAGATTAATGCCTGTCAGTTAGTCACCCATGAGCTCAGGTGCAGTATTATGAAACCACTCTGCCCTTGCATTAGTGTAGCCAGCCACGTATCAGATTCTAGCTCCACGTGAGGCTGATGAATTTAAGGTGGCCCTTTAGGGCTGCCATAAACTTCAGTTCTAGTGTAGCACTGACCTCAGGTAAGAGTACAAGCAAAGAACATGCTGCTGAAGTAACCTTAACTGGAAGAAGTACAGTCCTGGAAGGAAGGAGTTCTATTTCATAAGATCCAGCTGCCAACTCTCAACAAGAACGAATATAATGAGAACTGGAGAGGGTATGGAAAGAAGTGAGCCGCTGGTACTCTACAACCACTCATGACGTGGGAACAGTATTTTAAACTAACTGTGGAGCTCTATTTTATCAGTGTTTATAAGCAGCATTAACTACTGTGTTTTCCTTGGAATATTCACTACCTCTGCCTATGAGGTGCTTCACTTCTGTGACAAAGGGACAGTACTGGGAAAGATGGGTATCAGTCCTCCTCCCCCTTTCAAGGTGCTCCTACCTGTGCCCCACATCCAGGGACAAGTTTTACATGCCATTGAGCAGTCCAGGAAGCTGCACTAGAGCACCAAGTGCCACCCATATCCACATTAAACTCATGCCAACTTCGCAAACTTGAATTCATGTCTTCTTCAAACAAGCCATTGTGGAACAAGCTGAAGTTGCTTCCAGCCTTCTGTACAGTTTGTAAAAATAAGGGGTTTATTATAAGATTTCATCTATTTCTAAAAAAAAAAGATACTAGACTGTAAATGTTGTATAAAAATTTAAATGAATTTAAAAAAATAATAAAGCCTTGAAAGATTTTTTTCACTTCCACACATTTTATAATAGTCTTCCAGCATTAGCCTAGAAGTAAAGTTTTGCCATTGCTTGAAGAAACTTCTTTTTTCTTCTCTGCGCAGCAAGTTGTAGGACTTCCTCGGGATTACTGGCATTCAGCTCTGTCTGGCCAATGGCTTTTATCTGGAAACAAAAGAGGAGACAGCACTAGCAACAGTCCTTCCAGTAAAGCTGTTTCATTACAAGCCATTTTCAGCACTAGTTCAACAGGCGATTTATTTCTGTAACATGCTATACCACCCCACCCCTAACCCATCCGCGTACAACTTCACATCAGCATCCAGACACTATTAAGAATTGCGCAACAAAATTAAAATGGAAAGTGGCGATTCTTTTCAAAGACGGTTTCAGGGAGGGAAAGACACACCAAGGAAATCCCATACCCCCAAGCACCCCGTGTTCACTTACTGCTATCTGCCGCTTGTCTGTCTCGCCTCTTTTGTGGTGGAGATCTGAGGGCGAGTCAAGAAAAGACACTTGGGTAGGAAACAGACTCTTTTCAGCCATGAACATCCAGTATGAGCTTTCTGTAGTGGTGTTCTAGTGAAAGGATACATGTCAAGTACTCCAAAATTGTGACATCCCAGATGTATTCATAGTAAGAATCCATGGCATCATGACTGAAAGAGAATACAAGGTTAGATTACCCAACCTATTGTGCGTATGTATTTATAAACTTTATTGTGACATTTACCTGTTTTGTTCCTGCAGTGCTTTAAATGCAGTTTTATAGTCTACTTCTCTGAGGAACTGGCATAAAATAGCTACCTGCAAGGAAAGACTCACAGGTGATTTTCACAGCCTTAATTCCCCACACACTGAAGTCTTCCACAAAATACCTCAGTAATCCCACCCCATTTCTAGACCCAACCAAGTGCTGGGTTCCACAGCAAGCAAGTTCTGAGCACCTGAACTTCGGGAGCATACACAACTCGTTTGGAACTATCAACAACAGTAGTAGCTAAAAGGAAGAAAAAGGGCTTTTACTCAAGTCTGAAGGGACTGACCTGGCTTCCAGGTTTCTAAATGCATTTCACAGCTCTTAAATCAGAGCCTAATTAAGCCTTGTTACCTCTTGGAAAACAAACCCACTGAACAACGGCCACACACACACAGTTATCATGAAGAACAAGGCCAGGTTCCCAACACCACCCCACAGACACCGTACTCCCTCTCAGCTCTACAAAACAAAACAAAACCAAAGAACCCCCCACCTCTATCCTAAGAGAAAAATGGGACAAAAAAACCCCAGACTATTTCTACTTTTTACATTTCCAAGCATATGTTTATTTACTTGTTAATTTGGGTCCTTTTAGTGTCCTAGAAGCAACAGTAACAACAACAAAATCTATTTTATTGCAGATTGCATTTACAAGGAAAGTCGGATTCAGTTTTACTTCCTAAAAAGTCCTCCCCCCCGCTTTGGACATCAAAATATTTATAAACTAATGTTTTACTAAATGCCATGTTTCAACTCTTACCTGGGTGTGACAGTTGAGTAAAGAACAACACTTGATCATTCTTTTTATCACCTACAGAATGGTTGAAAAACAAAACACAAGTTTTGAAATGCTAGTATTGGAACACAAACACAATTTTTTTTTTTTTTTTTTTAAATACAAGGGACCAGCTAAATAGCTATGTACATTCTTCTACCCGGCCCCCCCAACAATTCCTGGGTTTTAGCAGATCCACTGATCATCTCAGCTTTCATCACTTTGGAGACTTCACAAGAGCTTGATGTGTGCTACAGAACAAAGCACTGTGTTTCTGGTAAGAGAGGTGGGCTGTGGTCTGGTAAAAAGCTTCACCTTTATCTCCTGCTGCCCACAGACAAGGCCTGACCTGGGTGGGAACAGCACAGCGAGTGGGCTCACAGACAAAAGCTCTCACGCCAAGGCAAACACATGCTGGCGAGCAGCAGTGCTGCTGTGTGACAGCACGGCGGTCCCAGCCGGGACTCCTGTACCACTGTAGCCTGGCACGAGGCCCAGCTTAGATCGGGCTGCAAGCATTCGGGATCCCAGACAGCGTCCGAAGCTCTCACTTGCCGTATGAACAGGAAGATGAAAGGAGCAGCAATCGGACAGAGTATGAAAATAACCTCCTTCCCTGGGTCTGGACAGTCACAACAAGCCTATTGCCTACCCAAAAGCAGTCTACACGTAACACAGTGGCTTCCTAATGAACAAGACAAATGCCTGGATAAAGGTTAGAGTGGCTGCAAGATTTCACGGGAGCATGCTGTGGCTGGGACTGATGATTCCCCCCCAACACGCACAGTTATTAAAGGGTTCTCACTCATGGCCCACTTGTAAGTGACAAGCCTCTCGTTACACCAGCTCGCAAAGTACACAGGTACATGCTATTTATGCACAGTGCCATACCTCCGGCACGATCTGACAGCAGTAAGTTACAATCCTACCCATCTCTGGACAACCTTGCACAGCGCTGCAACGCAGCTCTGCTCACCGTCACAGTCTGGAAAAAAATACCAGTGTGTGTGTGAAAAGGAGGCAATGTTGTCTGGATCTCACTGCTAGTGTGATCCATGCTTCCACTCCTCATCCGTGTTAGCTAGAGCAGACAATATACTGAAGTGTTTAGACAATACACTTATGTTTGTCTGCACCACAGGTGGAAGCAAGCAGGCTCCATCTGTGCAATACCAGCGCCAGAAGCACAGTGGGAGCCGGACGTTTCCACCAGCTGCAGGCTCAGGCCAGCACTCCAGCACAGCCAGTGAGGAAAAGCGCGTGCTGCTGCGCTGTCCTGAGCTGGTCTGCCCGCTCGGCACTGCGCAACACAGTGCGGCCCCGCAGGGAAGAGCTGGGGGATCACCACACCACACGGCAACGTGTGTGCTCTTGGCTTTTTCATTTGCTCAGTACTGCATCGGAGTCCAGTGCTTCCCCAGCTGGCAGCTCTGCGTGTTCAGACTCTACAAACTAACAGAAAAGCCTTCTGTGCTTCAGCAAAGGAGAAGCTTCAGATTTTCTATAGCCTTCAAGCAACAAGCAAAGCAAAATGGATCTATGAGGATTCATATCCCTAAATGCGTCAGATATAAAATCCTAAGGCTACAGGAACGTGTGTGTGTTCAGCAGTTTTGTCTCTACAGAGAATTAGGATGCTGACTGAACCCAAAGAGATATTTTTGTACATCTAAATCCCATTTTAACTCACCTGGTCTGTGTACACATCTGGCGGTACCATCTTATTAAAGAAGTCTGAGCATACAGCTCCTGCCTGTAGATAATAGTGAAGGGCTGCTGAATACTGATTCGTTGCTGCAGTGGAAAAAAGCAAAATAAGGTCTTAAAAGTAAACACAGCAGTTATTTCTAAGACTCAGATCAATTGTTTATAGAATTACTCAGATATATGTATCTCAGAGCTGAATTCTACTGGGAAAGTGACTTGCATATCATTGTTTAAAAAGCACAGACACACAGGAGGTGGTAAAATAGTGACAGACAGAAAACTATACAATCAGGGAAACTAGCAACACAGGCAAAGTTCTGCCTTTTGAGAATTGCTTTTTACTTTTCAGGTATTTGATCTTAAATCCATCAACCTTTGAGTGGAAAAGTTGTTTGCCTTCACGGAACTTGGCAGGCGGGTGGTAGTGAAGGAGTTTAGTTGGTGTGAGTTAGAGAGGGCCAGCTGATACCACCACACCCATCTCATGGTGCAGCACTAGTTTTTACTAACTCCCAGTAAGTTCTTACTGAACCGATGTGAAGACAGCCTGCAGGGGCTCTGTGGTGAGAGCAGTCTACTTGTCCACACAGCCTCTGAAATACAGACCTGACGCGTGCCAGGAGTGCTCCAGCCATTGCTCTTTCAGGTACCAGCTTCTGAGACTTGCATCGTAAACATCCTCCTTCTGGGATGTTGTTCCACTTTGTACGAGCAGTAAATACTGCCAGTTTATAACCTTGAATCACACTCCCATATCTACGGTGACAGCCCTAAACACAAGACTAAGACTCATGCCCTCACCCCAAGGGTTATAAAGCATCTTCTGGACAAATTTGTCTCCTTTGGAAGCAACAGGCTAGGATTTCTACACTACATCTTACTGCACACCACAGACATCCTTCCAGTCCAAAAAAAGAGATTTGGAAACATGCACCTTGCCTCCTGCAATAGCCCAAAGCACCAGCAAGCAGATGGCAGAGGCCCAGCACATATCCCATTTTATTGCCAGAAAAGAACAATCTGGCTTAAACCCAAATTCCACGAGACCGGTCTCAACAGATAATTTAAGTGGAAGAAATGCCCAGCTACCTTTGAGGATGGCTACAGCCATGTCCTTCTCTAGCACATACACCAGGTAGTACCATACTTGTCTGGCTACCTTCTGAAAGTTCATTCTTCAGCACCTACCTCTCTCCACTCTGCTCACACTCTAAAGTAAGCCCCAGGAATGGACTCTAGATTGGGGAGTAATTTAACAAAGCATAGTATCACATAGGCTGGGCAAGATTTCCCCAGGCAACTGCTGCCCTGGTACAGTCTGGGTGCGTGTCATGGTGCCCAGAATCTGAAATGCTTTATGTCCCAGTTCTGCTGGCTGCTCCCAGCTGAGGAGCAAAGATAAGTGCTGGGAAAGTGGCAGGTGAGGACAGAATGACAGTAAAGAGCTTCCCATCACAACCAATACCAGATCATGCTCCCTCATTTACAAATCCTAGATACTTCCCTATGTAAAATACAGATCCTCTCTGTTCATATTCTGCTCCAGTGAAGCTGGTCTCCACATTTAAAAGCAAGCACTATTCACAAAACTTTCCATTCACTTAGTAAGACTTGAATGTTAGGGGTTTGCATAATTATACCACTCAAGGACCAACTGCACCCACTAAAAAAGTGAAGTTAACAATGACACTTACCCTAAAAGCAAGTCCGCATGACCCATCGAAAGTTCAGTCTCTCTGTGGGCTTAGACAACCTCCCAGACAAATTCACCTACACTACTGCATCTAAAGATTTTAAACTCATGTATCACTTAAGCTTCTTCTCATGAGAGGAAGTACAAGGAGGGTTATGTCAGGCAAATCTCAGAGAAGCAAGGTATCCCCTACACACATGCTAAAAATAGGCATTGGTTTCACTTACCAAAATAAATATCTGCCTGAATAATTAACCAGAAGTGGTTGTTTGCGTTGATAGTCAATGCATAGCTGACTAGCTCTTTTACTGTAACAGCCACAGCTTCAAAGTCCACTGACTGAAGACTAAAGGAAAAAAGGAAGAAAATTAATTCTTAAATGATTGTTTTGGTTTTTTTAAACAGTAATCTGATTTCACATCTAGTTTAAGTCCAAAGCACCTTGCATTAAGTGTCAAACAAAAATAACTCCAGGAAATATTTAGTTTCAATACAGTAAAACTGATAGAACAAATACACCCTCCACAGACTTGGACAAAAAGTCAGAACTTTGTCTGTGGCTGACACCATAAAAGGGTTCCATGCAAGAATATATGTTCTCAGTTTCAAGAAGTTTGAAGACAACCCCTGAAACCACTACAAATTTATCACAGCATCTGCATAAATGGGCACAGACAGCAAACTCTGGAAACTTGTGGAACTAGCTTGGAAAGGAAGGCTGGGAATAGTTTGGCACATTGCTTGGGCAGCCTTTCCCAAAGCTCCTGTGCAATCTCCATTTTTAAAAATGTTTTTTCTCACCCTACTGCTAAATTCTAGTTCTAAATTCTTGAAAACCAGTTTCTTCTGATTAACCTTATAATATACACTAAAGTCTACATCAGTAACAATGAGACTATTCAATCAGACCAATTAAAGACAGATTAACCACACTAAGCATTACACGCTCGCTCCCTCTCATGAGAGTCATCTCTCTCGATGCATACATAGAATCTAAAACAGTGAGGTTCTAGCCCCACAGAGCCTCTGAACTTCAATGGAGAAACACAGTTCAACCCAGCCAGAACAAATCAATACATGCCATATGCCACTTAGTATTTTGGCAATTATTCAAACACACCTCAAAAATGTTTAGTTATTTTGTATTAAAATATTATATAGTTCACATAGTTACATATAGCTCAGTAAAGCACACAGCTTAAAAACCCCTCAGTTTCTTGTACCCGCATCTCCACCAGGACCATCAAATTAGGAGCAAAAACCTCCATGCACCCAGACCAATCTGCCCACAAACAGAATGGGGGTCAGTGATGCCCTGACACGGCAGAAATCACACTAACACACAGTAACTAATACACAGTAACTGGAACTAAACCAACTACGTGAATGCGTATTTTGAAAATTGTATTTTTAATTATCATCTTACTTGGGGATGGATGAGGGCCAGATGGAAATGTGCTCTGCTGCAATATCATTCACAATATCTTCCTAAGAGAAGAAAGATAGTAAGAGACATTACAAAGAGAAACATTTCAAGAAAACCAAGTAAGATGTTTATGATATATACTAACCCGAACATTATGAAGCTTGACAAACAGGGACAATATTGTAGTTAAAACCAATGGTTCCTGTAAGGAAGAAAAAAAAAAGGTATCCCCATGAACTAACAAAACTCCACTTCCTTCCCTAAGCTCTAAAGCTATGTAAGAAGTTCTGACATCATTATAATTTCCTATTGAAATAGGGCAGTATTTTGTTAAGAATTCTGTAACGCAGGAATACTGTGAGAAAGTTTCTGTAGGAAGTCTTTAATTACTCCAGATTTTCCTGAATAACTGCTTGGATATAAACTTTACTTAGGTTTTACACATCTTTACGTTGTTTCTATGGCTACTGCTTAGCCTTAAACTTAAGCTAGGTATACTACAACTTTCTATGCATTTACAAACCCACAGGTATAAAGCAATTTCCCTTCCTCTTACTTCTGCTCCTTAGTTACAATGCAAGTAGCAGCTTCCTTCTCCCTCCAAAAGGAATGCTTTGTTTCATCATAGCTGGAATAAAATGAACTTCATGATGGCTGGAATAAAATATACTCCTAATGTTAACAGATCTCCACTGTCAGAATTCAGGATTTTTTTTTTTTTTTTTTTTTTTTTTTTTTTTTTTTTTTTACAAGCTATTCCACATTGCTCTATGGCAGGTATAGCAAATTCAGGAGTTCTTCAGCCATATAAAAGACCTGCATAGCTATCAGATTTTCTGAATTTAACAGGAAAAGTCCAGAAAAGTATTATACTAAAAGAAAGTTCTGGCTGCAAACACATTCTCAAGACCACTATATCTTACCCGAAGCTTTTTGATGAAGGACAGCAATTCACTCCTAAATTAGGGACACAAATATCCATGTAAGTAATCATTCACAGCAAAGAATACATGCAAACTTAATACACTGGAAAAGAGAGTCAGTAAAGCAAATTCTTCACCCACCAAAACACTCCTTCACCTCTAAGTTTACAAATGCAGAGCATATAAGTGAAAATGCTCAAGCAGGTCATTCACTTTTAATACAGTCACTGGCAAGTTTTACTTTTACATTCAAAACAGGTTAAATAAGAGGTATCTGTTATTCCATCAAGCTATAAAAGGCATGAAAATCACTTTGTAGTAAGTCAACCATTGACTCTAAAAGGGACAGCAATTGAACTGTACTGTTATTCTCCAAGCTAGGATTGCAACAATGACCTACAGGCTCACAGAAGAGGGTACACTGTGATCATTATAATGTACATTGATTTCCTTGTCATATGCCTCATCAGAAATTGTCACCATAAGACAATCCAGAGAAGCACACAGCCTGTTTGGAAAAGGTTTCACTGCCTCTTTTCCATAATAACAATAGGGTCACTGCCCTTTACTGTTTGAATCAGAGGGGTCAGAAAAGGTTCAGTATCCTAGAGTACACCTGTACTGCTTCCTTTTCCTTGCCAGAGTATACAACTGAAACCTATACCAAGCACGTACCCTCTTCCACCCATCCCACAGCTGCGTAAGCAAAAGCAGCTGGCTTTAGGCACACATTAACCTGATTAGCTCAAGAAAGGCAAAGAAACAGTCAATAGTTTGACAGGGGCACCTTTTCCAAGTTTTTACCACGAAAAGCTGTTCAACATAATCATACCTTCCAGAATTTACCATAATAGGCAACTTATAATCAGGCTTGGGCTTAAGAACAGGCTGAAAACACCTACTAAATGGACAAATTAGAATCCTGAATCAATCAGTTAAAGCTAAGGCTGGCAGAGGTTAGGTAACTGACTGAAATTACTCCAGCCAACAATATTTTCATCCTTTCCCTCTCCCCAAGGGCTCAGCTGAACTACAATTTCAAGATTGAATAACATCTAGCTTTAGATTCAGAAACCTAAAGCTAAGTGTAGACACCCATGCTGTGAGCTAGGTGTTTAATACAGTTACGAAAGTGGTTAACTCATACAAGTCAATGGAGTCTGCGGAGCAATTCTATTCGATGTAAAGCAGACACCTCCAGTCAGTCAGCTAAACTGCCCTCTAGATGCCACTGACTTTATTGGCACATCTACACCAGTGAGCACATTGTTCACTTGGTAGAGATCTTTAGCTGCTGCGACCACTCTGATAGTGGAATCCAGACAATTTTTGAAGGGAACATGGGGTCAAATATAAAGTTCAAACAATCTTTACAAGTAATTTAAGAAAACACACCTGTACATAATGCCCAGTGTAGACTCCCTGTGTTTTATCAAACTCACTCTGCCATCATTCCCCCGCTTGTGCTGGTTGGATACACTGCAGATTTGTACAACAACTTCCCAAAGATCTTTAGCTGTCCGTCTACTTTCTTTGGGACCTGGAAGTTCTTTGCATGTAGCAGCCAGCAACTGTCCCAGCTACACAATGCAAGAGAAAAAACACAGTAACTACAGCTTCTCTGAATATTGACTACAGCAAAGAAATTGCTGGCATTTAAAATGGCTAAACAAGCGATTTTAAGTTACAAACTACAAAGCAATGTGACTAAACTTTGCAGCAGAGGACACTGATGAGCAACCTGGAAGACAGGAATTAAACAGAGGATTTTTCCGTTTATTAGTTTCCTTAGGGTATATTTCATTACTACAGGCTCCAGAAAAGCTGTAGTGTGTAAAAAGCTTTACAATCTACTTAAATATATTGCATAAAACCTAAAAACCATAAGATACAGTTTTACAAAGACTGGCTACCTAGAACCCCCTTAACTCTCATATAATAATCTGAACTGAAACTGGCACCCTCTGCTATACAGAGGGTAAAAAGAGCTGAACCTCAAAATGGAAATTAGGGAATACCACAGGTAAGCAGAGTAGGCCAAAAATGAATCTGTCCTGTAATATGATCTGCATTCAGCTTCATCACCTGACCTTGAAGTAGAAACATTGCTGTAAAACCATTTTGAAAGTAAAGTTTCAAAAAAGGCAGTGCTTGAATGTCTCCAGAAATTCAACACTGGTGTTGGGTTCAAAAATGGAACCATTACAGCGCATTTGGAAAACAAGTGCTTTAGGAACAGAAAAACAACCAGACATGAAGCCCGAGATCTGTACACTTCTCATACCTCCTACATGAATCTAGGCTGAATTCCAGCTGAGAGGAGAGTCCTTTACAGAAGTGCTACAGGGTTTCAATCAGCTTATGGAACCAACCTCAGCTGGCAGCCAGCAAGGGCTAAGATGCAGTTTGTTTCATCTGTTCTTGCAGCACAGCCTCCATGTCTTTTGTCAACCGTCAAATACACTTATTGCTTAGCCCTGTTGTCTTCTATACCAGACTTAATTCATTATAGACACAAAACCCGACACTCTTGAGATAGAAGGATACATACTATTAGAAGTACAAAAGTCTTAAACAGGAAAAAGTCAATTACAGCCTGACAAGGCTGAGACTGAGCACTCATTACCTTCACATAAGGATTAGTTTGAACCAGAGGTAATGGAACTTGCATGGTCAAATACTCATTCTCACGCCAGTTTAACAGGAAGGCAACACATTCTTCAGCTATAACTTGTCGAAGAGGAATATCTGGAAGAAAAGAGGTTCTTTGCTTACCTTTTTTTTTTTTTGAGAAAACAAGCAAAACAGATTCCCTCTAATTACCCATGTTCCATATCTATCACAGAAAAACCTGATGCTTAGCCCTACAAGAGACTTCATCTCTGAAAATTAGAAGCAACAGCTTCCTCCAACCACAACAGTACTACGTTACTCCCTCAGTGTGAAACCATGTGGACTGCTTTTACAACTAGCAAAACTTTTCAGGTAAAAATGCAGACATGTTTATCCTGTTCAAGTCCTTTAAGTGGCACTAAACAGAAACTGTCAGTGTTTAGCAATATGTAGTCATCATGATGTTGCTGTTCTCATTTCCAGCTTCTAAAAACTAACCAAGCTTCTAAAGGCTCACTAAAACCAGTGTCAAATTTCACTATTGTTTTTCCAATTATACACCTAAATGGTAGAGCTACAATACAAAGTTGTTTTTTTTTTCTTTCTCTCAAGCTTTGTGCTTTACTGCATCCGAGGGAAGACAGCAATGTACTTACCAGGTACTCTCATTTCCAAATATCCTCGGACTCTGCTTATGAGATCAGAAGGAGGACGTTCTCCAGAAACGCCAGCTCCAGCTTCATGAGTATAAATGTCCAAAAGTAGCATTTCATTTAGCATGACTTGACGGAGTTTTGGAGAAAACTCTGTCACGAGCTCCAAGCAAGCAGCAAAAAGCTGTTTTGCATGGACAAAATCCTGCAATAAAGAGGTTCCTGCAATTAATGGTTCCTAACAGATTGATAAAGGAAAAGACTAAGAGTTAAAGTGCTGTTCTGGCTGAACCATCCGCAGCATCCATTACCGTTAGCATTGCTCAAGCATCTCACAATTACTATGTATGTTTTTGAGTCCTTTTGCTATTAAGCTTAACAGTTCCAACAGTTCCAGATTTTTATAAAAAAACAAGTCAAAACGTACCAGAAGTAACTACTGGCATATTAGGTACAGTTCAGTTTTACCTTGTAGTTTAGCAAACTACAGTATTGTCAATTACAAGGCAAATAAAACAGCATTCTAATAAATTCCTTATGTAAAACAGTTAGCCAAAAGAACAGAACGTCATATCAGTAAGTCAAATCACCGCTGGCTTTAGATGCTACATGACTTAGTATATCATAATCAAAACTTCGTATGAATGAAATTATCTCCAGGCCCAACTCACAGGAAAGCCATTATCCTTGCTCTACTGACGGAGTTCTGTGAGACAGAAATATTTAACCACTATATGACACACAGAGCTTATTACTACATCTCCCTCACCTCCCAGTTTTTCAATTCTTTTTCTCAAAAAGGGCTTTCCATATTTTCAGTGTTGTTAAAATTCAATTGTCCAAACTAACTCACCAGTAACTTCAGATGGCTTGCTCACCTTAATTGCACAGCAGTGTAATCCCTTCGCCATAAGGATGTAGACCAAATCCCTAGTCAGATTGTCTTTGATTCCTAAAATAACATTGCCGTAAACATTTGGTACTTCCCACTGGGAGAGAAATACATAGGACATTTGCACAGGAACAGGTTTTAGAATTCACATCACTGCTTAAAACATCAAAAACAAAACTCAAATACTGAAAATGATTGACATCTAAGTGCCAACTCTTTCATTTTTACATCTAATTAGAAGTAATGTATTGCTCATATAGAAGTACAGTAACAATGGCTAGCTACTCTACTTTGTTCATACTCTGAATATGCAATAATTGGGAGGGAAAAAAATCAAAAGACAAGAAATCCTTACTTAACAACAACAAAAATCTCTTCTCTCCTGCTCCCAGCTTTTAATAATAGGAATTTAAACTAAAATAATATTGCCAGCTAGTCAGAACACTGAAAGCAAAAGCTGCAGAAATTTGTTTTCTCACAAGGAAAGCTTGTGATATAGCCAGTAATTCCTTAAAAGAAAGGTTATACATTTTGCTGTAATACTTTTCATAGAGAATGTGAGTTTAGATATGTATTATCATCCTTATTAAACCACCAGCATGCGGGGGGGGGGGGGGGAGCGGAAAATCACATTGAGGATCTATGACAAAATGTTTACTGTTCACTGCAGTATGATATCTAACCTTGAATTACACTCTCCCATGACCACGTGAAATAATACCTTATTCGAAATTGTCCAGAATTGGCGTTCTGAAGTCATACCATGCAACTCAATTAAGATCTGGCGAATCCTCCAAGGATCTACTGACAATATGAGCTGATGTTCAAGCTGGCCAATATTGACACTTGCTGAAGCTAGAAGAAAAGCAATCAGGTCTCCAACGCATTCCTTCTTAATGTAGATGCTTATATTTCTTTAGCATATAACATTTTAAACATAACACAGTAAGAACAGCAGAAACATCAATGCTTTTGTAGGCCCCATGCATCCTTTCGTGCCCTTCCACAAACACCTTGTGCTAGCTTCCCAGCTCCCCTGACCTAAAGGGCTGCTTGCAATGCCCCGTTTTCTCACACCATCAGCTCTAAGTATTCCCTTACCCTTGCTACCGTGAAGCAATAGGTTGAAGATCTGCACAAGAAAAAGTATTCCTATACTGCCTTAGTGAAAATATGCATTTTCACAACTGGCTTAAGTCAATGCAAGGCTGTATTAGAGCTGAAAAGGTAAGTTCTTTCCAGCTCCAGTCACCATCTGGCACCTCTTATGTTAGCTTTGACTTGTGCAGCTGCACAGCCAGCCAACTAGATCTGGGAAATAAACTGGCCAAAAAGACCTGGGTTTCACTTTGTTAGGTTTAAAACTTCATCCAGATGGTACTCCTGGTCCAGCTCACCACACAGTCACACAAGCATTAGTGCTGGTCTAAGTGAGGCAGGGTGCCCTTTCTGGGAACAGCTGCCACAGCCAGATTTGGTTCAAACCAACTGCCACACCTCTCTTCCACTTGGTCAGCTAGGACATAGTCATTTGAGCATATCTATTATACCCAGTTGAGATACAAGCAACATACAAGCAAATAACAGCCACCTTCAAACAAGTAGGACATTCACCAACTAAAAATGGGAAGCTTTCTCTCTAAAAACATTCTCTCTAAACTTCTTCTGAGAACAGACCTGCACATAGTAACCTCAAGCATGAAAACAGGTAACTGCCTGCATATAAGTTAATGGAAATGCTGCGGAAATTACCTGGGATATCATAAAAAGAAGTCACAGGTTTTGTACACAGGTTGATTCGAGGAGATCTCTTCCGCATTTGATCAATGAGCAGCTTCCGTTCATCATCTTTCAGCAGTTTTATGAACAGCTCATGAGATGAAATCATGAAGACAAGCTGAAGATCTTCCAAACCCAAACACAAGTTTCTAAACAAATAAAAAAGTTAATACATGAGCAGGAAGAAGTTTCTTTTTCCAATTGTAAGTTCTCAAAACATTTATTGTGCTGTATTACATTGCTTACAAAGTGTAAATTCATGTTCTCCTAATGTGGGTACATACTTGAGAAATGCTGCCATTTTTCTCTTCAATGCTTCGGAAGCATTTTCCAAGTTTATTGATCTTGAACAAACCTGGGAAATAAAGCAGCAAATAATTAAGCAGCCCCTTAGAACTCTGAAAATATTTAGTTACAGTGTAACTGCCCAGTTTTCTGACTCACAACTAGTATCAGGCAGTAACCCTCTGTCTCAAGGGAGGCAACAAAGTTATCTGATAAACACTGTAGCCACCACAGATGGATCAGTTTGTTTCAACCTGTACACAAGACAGGCTGTTTCAGATAACTGTTACCTTCCCTCAGACACAATTCACATTCCTTTTTCCTATTCCTCTGATATTTAGGTGTGCTGACGCCAAGTGCCACAGTATCAGTCAGCCTCACAAGATCATTAAGTACGTAACAAAGCCTTTTACATGAGTTTAAAAATGAACCGACATTTCTAAGTGTAAAAACATAAGACTCACTAGGACTAATAGTTTTTTAAAAACAAAACAGTAGCTGAAAGATAACTAGACAGTTGAATTTAATTGCCAGCTTGCAAGAAATATTTTTTTTTTGAGAAATGTTTAAATCCTAATATGAGCAGTTGATGGAACAGCTTTTACTTGCTCTCAAGTACAGAGTACTGTCAGTCAATTTTTGCCACATGCTTGAAGAGACAAACAAAAGACAATGCTCAAATTAAGCAAAGAAGATATGAAAATAACAGCAAAGCAACAAAAGGAGCAAGTTTAGCTTGAGCAATAATAGTTTCCTAAAAAGCTTCAGTGAAGGCAACAGTTTAAGTCTCACATATACAGTAACTCAGGATCATTTCATGACATGCTAACTTCTCCCACAAAGCTGGTAAGGGAAAGTGGCATACTTCTTTTTCTAGTATCTCTCTCTGTCTTGGAGAATTTGTTTCTTTGTTCCTTGAAAACAAACGTTCAACAATATCTCTGTATAATTTAATGATGTCAAGAATCATAGCAATTTCAAATCCAAGCTGAAGCAACAGATCAACATCAGTTCCTCCCCAACAGATGGAAACAGAGCTATGAACATAGATGCAAGACTGATCACAGAGTATAATTGTACTAACTGCAAAGAAGTTGAAAAAAGTTTGAGAAGTTACCTTACAAAGTATTTTTCTCTGCTTCAGAAATTTGAGCATTACTTGCAAAAATAATAGTTATATGGGGAAAGAGATATCTCACTACATACCATTTCCCCTTCTAATTTCAGATAATTTCTTACCTCAAGGAGGAAGTCTATTTTCTCTTTGTTGGGTTTCAGGAACAGTTGACAAAACTGAATATCAATTATTCGACCCTGCAATACATCGCAGACTGTGTTGCACACGCAGACTTTGAAACAAACTTCATCCAGAGCATCATTCCTGCACGAACACAAAACCAAAGATCACAGAACTTCTCTGACAAACACAGAATTGGTATCACAGCAAAGCTCTAGGTGCCAGATCCCAAGACAAGTTTGGAGCACATAACTCTCTCTAAGACTGCACTCTGAAAAACTTTACTCAGGATCTACTTAAGTCTTCCCTGGACCTCACTTTTTTTAAAAGAAAATTCCCTCCCTGCCCACAGCTGTTTCACATGCAGACTTCACTATTGCTTCAGCCTGAGCACCACTGGAACTCCAACTAGAGTTGTGTCAGTGCGGCTGACACAAAGGTGTATTGCTTCTTGGCAAGCATGCCCTGAGCGTGGCTGACAGGCCAAAAGACTTCAGGAGTATTTATGCATCTCAGAATACACAATCATTGGACAAAAATCAAAACAAATAACCAGAACCAGGCTTCCTTCTCTTAATCCTTCTCTGTATGCCTTAACTAGATTGCGAAGTCATGCTCCTCCATCCTTCTCTGTCTAGTGCGCATCACTGTAGGCACTCCGTACTAGCCATACCAGAGACGAAAACACCCCTACACAGTGCTAAGCTACAGCTCCAAGATCCTCTTCTAGGAGATATTTATTTGACTCCTCTCTGGCTGAAGTGAAAGCTGAATTCAGTAACTACTAAGCTCTTACACATGAGGCTATCACCATCGATACTCCTTTCTCCTCACACACATTTGTAAAACTGAGCCTCTCTCACTTCTTCAACTGAAATACTTGTAGGCACCTTCCCTTCAGATGCTTTCCATCTAGCCCTGATTCAAGTGCCTAAGCTCCGCAGAAGGTTGAATTTTGGATGTGGCCATGTGCTCAGCATTTCTCAGTTGGGAGCCATCCAAAAGCTGCCCTTGTAATGTGCCTAATTCTCTCTGCTTATTTTAAATTTTTTCTTTTTATAAATGCACCATTCCAATGCTTCAGCCGTGGGCTAGTTCAGCAGTGCACAAGGCTCCTAATGACAGATAACTACACTGCCAGTGTTCCCAATGAAGTACACGTCTCCTACAATATTACTGCTTAGCATGGTTAGTCTGACCAGCTTTGACTTCAGGTTTTAGAAGACCTCTAAAGAGGCATTAACTTCGTTATAAATTTTATATATTTACATATATCTATATACGCGCGCACACACACATGTATATGATGAATTATGACTTTTACCACTTTATGGTAACATGTTAATATCCATTAAATTTTTCCCATATATGGCCACAGTGAGATACATCACAACATAGCTCCTTAGTTGGAAGATGTAGTTTAGACTATTGCTAATAGAAATAAAGGCTAAAGCTTCCTGGATGTAAGTAATCTGTTGTTAGAAGATTTTGTATACTTTCCATGAAAAACATAAAACTCATGAAAATTGCTCTTCATCATCATTGAACAGATCATTATTTAATGTCTCACCCTTGCTGAGCTTTTTGGAAGAGTTCTCTCAGCACCGATTGCCTGAACTGAACAGGTAAACTGAGGGTTAGATTATCTTCAAGGAATATCTTCACTAAGTCCTATAACACAAACACAGTTGGAATAGTCAATGGATAATGGAAAAGATACAGATAAAGTAGTTTTTTATCTGCTAAAAATGATCAAACTAACAGAAGCAGCTTGCACCCATATGTAATACTAAAATTCATTAAACAACCAGAAAGGGACCAAACAACAAAAAAGTTCTCTAGCATCAGAGAATCAAAGAAAAAAAACAAATTTGCACATCTCAGCAGCAACATTCCCTGAAACCCAAAGAGTTAGATTCTACCTGAACATTCCATACATGAGCTAGTAGGAATTACTTACGTTGTATGGAATCCAAGATATTTTAATCTAATATGTATCAGACTATGTTATATTCCTACACAAGTGTGTTCTAAAACAGTATGTTAATGGTTAACTGGAACACTTAAATTTATTAAGATACCGATCAGTTGAGGTGGAATCATCCACATGGAATGACAAGAAAACCCTCATATATATGTGGGTTTATTTAAGCACCCTACCTGATAGTTGCCAGATTTCATACAGCTATGGATTTGACTATAAGGAGTTGCCTGTTGAGATGCATCATCAGAAGATGAGGTAAGAACTCCACAAGCTTGGCAGTATCCAGCTAACCGTTCTTCATCGATGGTAAAATGAAGTGATGATGAACCATTCTGAAAAGTAAGAGTTAAATCAAACCTTAGTGGCCAAAATATTGTGAAACATAAGCTTAATTCGGAAACACAAAGAGAGACTCACAATTTCCCCAAGTAATAGCAAAACAACGAAAGAATGTGCGTGTATACACTTTTTTTTTTAATAGCATACTTTTATATGTGCTCTTTACAGCTTAGACCATGTTTTGTCTATTTAAATAAAAATCTGAGTTTTGCAGTTTGGGGAATATAAATATGAAGCAAAATAAAAAAGGAAGCATACCTTAGTTGTAAATTAAAACACATTTTTTAAAAGTTCAGAACACAGACAATCTCATTTCCAAGGGAAAGTTAGATAAAAAAAGAATAGGAAGTGCTGTATGGTTACCTTCCTCAAAAACACATCACCACAATCAAAATATCACAAAGGACACAGCATGTACTGTTCAGTTGAGTTATATCAGCACTGGAGATGGTATTTTTGCATTTCTTGCATCAATACAATTTGTGTAAGAGAATATTCATTACAAAATGTAGAACAAAGCAGCAATATATTGCAGCCGATGAATATAATTTCAAACAAGGCACAATGTGAAAAAACAAAAATTGCTGTCAAAACCCCATGAAGTTTCTTCAAAAACCATATGTACCATTAAAAGTTATTAAATTGCTAAAGAAGGAAGCAATAATTTAGACAAGTTTTTTTTAGAAGAGTTGAACATACATGCTAATAAAACACTCATTACCTTTGCAATCAACTCCTTTGTTTTGAAAAACTTTTCTTTAGCATTTTCATGAACAGCTGCATTTGTAGATCCTTGTTGAAAATAGATTGCACCCAAATCATAGCAAACCTGCAAATAGCATTGATATAAAATACATTATCTTGGAAATTTATATAACATTTTAAGTCAAGACTAAGTATTTCAGCTCAAACCTCACACTTTAAACTATTCCTAGTTTTATCTAATGTACCGACATACACTGCGTACCTTTCCCCACATACTTCAATTGTTTCCTCTTTAACTGCGATCTCAGTATGAGTAATTCCGCACAAGCATTACAAAATTACAGAATGATTTCCACATAATCGTTAAGAACAATGCAATAAGCTGTCCTTGTCATATAATGGTTTACTCCAGAGGAGGCGGGGGGGAAAGTTAGGGTTTGGGGAGGGAAGCAACAATATTTACAGTGTTGAAAAAAGTTCTAACAATGTAAAAATGAAGTCAATAATATCTCATTGCATTAAAAAAAGAACACAGGAAATGTTAATAGAAAAATACTGCAATTTATCCCCAAAATATTACTTAACACTTTTTCTAAAAAAATAGATATAAATTGAAAGCTTTACTGTAGAATGTAAGGTACCTGGCACTGTATCTCCTCTGCACTGATTTTCAGCCCAGCTGTGGAATTCTCTGTTTCTCCATTCACCATACCAGGTTCCATGGCTAATAAATCCAGAGTTCTTATAGTGTGGACATAAAGATCTTTGTTTAATTTAAGTGCTCCTTCTAGGACCAGGATGGAATCAGCAGCCTGCTCTTTCAACTGTAATAGTTCAAATGCATTGAAAAAATTAACCTCTTGGTTTTGAGTCTAGCTCTGGGTTTAAATTAACACTAGAAATGTAACAGTACAGTAAAATGATAATAAAAAAAAAAAGTCCTTATATACCTGTCTTATTGCTATGTAGAATCTGTATTTCTTGAACAATAAGAAATTTGTGACTTCTACTTCAGTTTCAGGTACTCAGAGAAACAGGATCAAACCCTTACTTCCACTTGAAACAAAACATTTTTCTCTGTTTCACCTACACCTTTTTTTCCATTTTTGGAGCATTAAGTTATGCAACAGCCAGATTGTAAATTTTAAGTTATTATTTCACAGCTGAAACAAAACCACCTTCTATGTGAACAGCAAGATTTTTTCAAAAATTTTGATGAATTGGTTAAACAATTAAACATCATTCATGCTCACCTATTTGAAAAAATATGAAAAAGTAAAAAATTGTAGAAAACGTATAATGCAAATTCTTTAACTGATTCCAAGTAATATAAGAGTAGGAAAATGAGGTAGGCTACTTATGGAAGTAGAGGGTTTGTTCTTCCTCTTTCTTGCCTCTCTCAAAGGGAAACACTTTAGGCACAACTAGTGTTCTGTTGAAAGCTACATACAGAAAACACTAAATCCTTTAAAAAACAAAAAACACCAAAATATTTTAAGCGTTTAATTTTGCTGCCATACGATTTTGCAGCTCAAGCATGGTATTGTCTTAATTACTAATCACACACTGATTTTGTAGAGGCTTGCTCAATTCATATGGCTCCAGGGATGGGCTGATGAAAGAATACTTCTATCACATAAAACAAATTCCATACTACATGCAGTGCAGAGACAACACTGTCCAAAATGCACACAGTGGAACTGTGGCAAATACTAAAAGTGGCAAATATAATAGAAATGCACTGAGTCCAACAAAACTGTGATGCAATTGTTTATTTCTTGTCCATTTATATTTACATGTAAATTCAAGCAAAAATAAGAGGGGAAAAAAGTCTCACCACTTTCAAAATATTTTCAGTTAGTTCCTTTTCTTGCTGCATCTGGTTCATCCTGGAAAATACAGAGAAGAGGTCAAGATCTCAATTATAAAGCAAACCTGCATGTTATTTTACTTCATATTCTACAGCACGAAAATGAATTCACAGGAAGTTTTGTTTAATTACATTTTAAACATCATTATGCAGGACCACCGACTGTTCTTATCTATCTATATCTGAAATATAGAATTATGTAACGAAAAAATAGTTTTGGATGAGAATGTGGTTCAATGAAATTGAAGTTATAATGTTTCCATTGCTTTTTTCTTTAAAAATCAGATTGTTAATATCAGCAGAACTATCATGAAGAAATCAGCTTCCACAGCCTCAAGTCTCTTGAAGCTTCACTATTTAATTCTTCTCGAGCATGTGTCAGGGGCAGAAGTGTATTCATGTGTTTATGTAAAAATTACAAGTATTCTTGAATTATTTCCCCATACAGAATTTTTTGATTCAGGATCAGACTCTGATACATATAGGACAATACAAGTTTTATAGTAAAATGAGTAGTAATAGTGATATTTTTAATCAACTTACTTAACAGTCTCTCTCAAACAAGTATAGCCTAATGCTGGAGTATAAAATTAACATAAACCACATGAAAAGTACCACTGAGATACTCCCAGCTTTATCGGAGAAATTTATAACACAAAAGTCAATTCCAAGGACAGGTTGTAACTAAAGCCACACAACTTCTAGAATGCAAAATGAATACTGACTTTAAATTACAATTTATTGCCTAATGAAGCAAATAAAAATACTTCATTATTTCTCAGGTTATCATACGTAACGTGGCGAATTGCTATAATAAAACAACTTTATTAAGCAAGATACTGTTAAGTTAAAACAGGATGCAAGAAATGTACTGTGTTTAAACTACAGAATAAGGACTCTGCCTAGGCAGATTGCCATCTCACTTTCTCCCATGATTTTTCATGCCTCTACAAAGTCACAGAGACTATAACATATTAAAAGAGTGGAACGACAGACAAGTACATATATGTATCAAGCATGTTTGACAGGAAAATAAGAATATATTTGAAATAAATGCAAGTTTTCCATGCTATAACTAGCCATTTTAAGCAATTGTACGTTATTAACATGATTTAATCCAATTAGAAATTAAATTTCTGATTACAAATTACACAGGAAGTCCAAATGCGTTATACCTGTAACTTACACATTTAACTGAGGTGGACCAGGTTTCACTTGCTTTACAGGAAAACTACTTTGAACGATGGTCCTTATGGCCCTACATAGGTGAGAGAATTAAGCAAAGAATTATATTAGCCTCAGAAGTGTAATAAGCAGATTACATGCCTCTTAAAAATATCAGTTTATAATTTCAGATACATTATACCATTAGAATACATCCTCTACTCAAGAGCACATCTAGTATTTAAGAAATGCTCTTATGCCCATAAAAAGCTAAAGGACAGCAAGATTGTCTTTATAAGGTGACAGTTCAAACCACTACCTTGATTATTTTTTTAGGGAACAAAACCAGCTATAGAATAGCTTTTCAGACTCAGCTCCTCACTATAACCTACCTACAGATCACAAAATTATTATTACTTTGAGATTCTTTCTTTTTCTGTGTACAAATATATAGATAGAAGACAAGATTGTTTCGTTCTAGTTTTAAGACTATTGCCTTAAAGTAGTTTACCATCTGTTGTAGAGTAGTATTGCCATTGCAGTAGTTGGGGGTAAGCTGGACAGGTCTACATCCACATGTTTAGTTCCTGGGGGAACTTTGCTGATACACAGAAGTTCATTCAGTAGCATGTTCAATACAGGAACAGATAAGCTATTAAAAAAAAAAAAAAAAAGAGAGTAAGATACTTCATATGATAACCTTACTCCTGTAATGTTTAAATAATACACACTACTATCAGTACTATGTTATTACTTAACATCCCATGGAAATAAGGGCAGCGTGTTTATTTAGCATAATGAAATGATCTGTATCAGGTATGTAAAGCAGTTACCAGTATTAGCAGCGTGAGTTAAGCCGAAGTGGAAGGTTGCCCTGACAGCTATGCACCACTGCATTAGTCCACACAGACACATCCCCAGAATAATCCAGTCACCTATAACAGCAGGTCCCAACTAAAGAAATTATTTTCAGAAGTATTCCCAGATCATACTTCCAAAAGGAAAACAACCACATTTCCATTGCAAATGGAATTTCACTCACGTAAAGGGAACATTTCTCTCTGCTATTACGGCTTATCTCCCTTTCTGCAGCATCCACTAGCAAACAGTGAAGTTAAGACTAGGAACTGGGCTAGCATACTGTAAAGCATCGTAAGCTATATTATGTAAAATATACATTAGCTGGGACAGAGCCTTCCTTGATAAAATGAGAAGGCATGCAGGCTGGACTGCATCACTCCAAACTTTTGAGGTATAATTTAACACAACTGGAACACCATTACTAATTTAGACATTATTTGAAATTGGAAGTGATCAGCTACTGCCAAAGTACCTTTGATCTTGTGAAAAATTTGCACTCTCTGCAACCAGCATTGAAAACAACCAGCGAAACTACATTTTTAGCAACTAAAGCCAGAATTCCTGTTTAACAAATTCTAGGTCTTGTGTAATATCAGACTCCAGGACTGTTATCAAGCTATCATTTTAAACTAACAAACACTGTTTTTACTATGTGAGGTCCAGGAATCTTGTTTTCATTGGCAAGAGTAGAACATCATTCAACTGTTTATAACAGCAGAAGTTTTAGAAAAAAGCTGTGCTTAAGCTGTTATTTTATTCCTTTTTAACTACCATGACTGAACCTTTGGGTATAACCAGTTAAAAAACAAAAGCATGTTTCTTAATTAAGAACAATCTTAGGTTTCACGAGCTAACAGAACAAGAACTCTAACTACTATATAGAGATGCTAAATTAGTAGTTGAAATTACTTCAGATTGGTTCTCAAAAAAACCACCACAGATGGACAAAACAATCCTATCAAAACCCAGAATCAGCCCAATAGTGCCATACAGTAGGGTTGATTTTTGAATCAGGATTATACCTGCATTTTAAGAAGTAAAGGTACTGACAGAAAATACACCATGAATAAACGTCAGTATAAATTACTCCTGCAAGAAAGGAAGCAGCCATAAAAAAAAGCACTCTTTCTCTCTCTCCACATTCACATACATCTGCTTTCAAAGCTGAAGTATATATTAAAAAAAAACTACTGTATACCAGAAACTTTTGTCCATACAATATTTTCACAGCTAACTACAGTACAGGTTTGTGTTCATTCTCTGCAGTTGGGCAGTATCTCGCAAAGGTACTTTGGTAAGTAGTAGTCCCGCCTCACAACACTTCCCTAAGGCAGATAACATGACATAGCTTAACAAATGACAAAAAAAGAACTTCATAGGTAAAAAACAAGAACATCTCATTCCAAGCCCTTTTACTGCTCACTATAGCACATTATTGTTGTGATTTA